AAACCTAACGCAGCTCCAAGAAGAAAACAACCTTTCGGAAAAACTTCTGGAGACTAAAAAGCTAAAGAAAGGAATCTTTGAACTCTGTGTTACGAGGAGAATGCAGAGGAATATATGAAGCTCTTAAAACTTCAAATGAAAAGAGCAATAAAAAAAAACATAAAAACGCTAAACCGGTAGTAGATTATTTTTTAGCTTAGAATCAATATATGAAATAAAGAAGAATAGTAACTATCAAATAGTTTCCATCTTCAACCTCACCAAATCATACAGTTGAGCCTACTTTTAGTGTTAGCAGTTGTAAATTGTTATACAAACTGTTATTTGAATAAATATTTTATGTTCGCTAAAGTGTATTATCAAAGACTATTTAGACGAATGGCGTTTGCTATACAATGTAAACATTTTAAAAGCAATAAAGAATGGTACTATTATTATCTGTTCGTTACAAGGTTTACTTTAATTAATTACTTAAATATCTCATTTCACTTAATCATTACGTAATCTAAGGTATGTCCCTCAGGATACAAGCTTGTACGCCCTGATAATTCCAAGCATCAGTCTGTACGTAGACGCCCGTAGGCTACGCCAGCCCCAGTCACTAAGTAGGCAAGTCCTAAATAGATCTGATAGACAGCGTTCATTGTGTTCTACAATTTATATCAGTCTAGACAGACATACATTTAATTACTAAAGATACATTGTGAGATAAGACAACCCGTTATCTCAGTCCGGTTTGTTTGTAAACAGAGATATTCTTGATACGCCAACGTACGCGGTTGAAAGATCTGATTTACGGTGTTTTGTCAGAGTTACGATAAACATCGATGCGTAGTAGCTATTTAGGTGAATGTAGGTGTATAAATACACGGGAAATTTAGATTGAATCACATAAGAAGTGAGCAGTGTAACAACTGAGAATGTGGATACAGTATCGTGAAAGAGAAAATTCTTTATTGACCTTCAGACATATTGACCACAGACTATAAGGTATAGCACTTTTGAGTTTAGATTGTACCACAGTATTCAGAATAGAGAGTAGGTGTTATTTGACATATTGCATTGACTAGCTTCCCATTAAGTTTTTTTATGTCCACGTATTTTACCTAAGACCCCTATCTTAAAAACAGTACAACCCTTTTGAATTTTGATTGCATCATTGTTTTTGGAGAGTGTGTTTTGTTTTACTAGGCAAATTACATGGCTGTTTTAACTAGGTACCTCAAAAGTGTGCGTAACAATGAATCCCATAGTTGGAAATAACTCTATACATAATGTAAAAAAGTGAAGCGGGGGAGAGAACTTTATAACCGCCTTGTATTAAACATTGTAACCAATGTATGTGTAACATCTTAACCTCGGACTACAGACAAAATTTAGTTAAGTAGGTTATTCATTTACATGTTTTTTTTTTTTTTTTTTGTAAATACGGGTTAAAAGTAGTCAACGTATTACCATATTAAAGTTAATGCGTTATCTATGACTGCTATGATCAACTAATTGAAAATAATATGACTGAAGTTAACTCTTTTAGCAAATTTCCCATATAGGGAATACGCTATTACCGTAGTACTAATGGTAAGACCTGGACCCGGGACCGATTTTCTTTATCGTTTTGAGGTCCCTAGAGACAAAAACACCGTCCGTTCAAATTCATATATGTGTTTGTGTGACCGTTATATCGATAAGCAATTATCCGATTTTGATAATTTTTTTATAAACGTGTAAACCTACATTTATTCGAATGAGTTCGTGAACCAGCATGATCGGACCATGGGAACATGGGAGGTAATGTTGTTTATGGGATTAAAATTGGGTTTTCCCATTTTTGACTCTTAAAACATAAAAACTTTCCAAACCATTTTATAGAGTTTAAAACCGAATTATGTAGTACATAGAGGCATCATTATAAGCCTAATGGTTACGGAGAAAGTTCAAGTCCCTATGTTATTCTTATGGAGAATAAACAACTGTTGTAGTTTGCTTGTTCATGAACATATTTTATTCAAATTTGGAAAATTAATTTAATACAACTACACATACAGTATTAACATTTCACAAAAAAACACTTTCAAACCCTCCCTGTTGCAGCAAACCTAATTACTTGTTAATCTAATGCTTTGTAAATAAGGAATAACTTTGTGATATTTTTAAGGATATATTTTAGTGTAAATCCAATCAAGCAAATTGAAATTCGCTTAGTCTGCAGGTTTGCTGTGGTGGGGATATTTTGCCTCGTCTTGTATTCCCGGCCTATAGCCAGTTTTTGTACCAATCTTGAAATTAGCGATATACCTTTTCGCCTGAAAAACGTACCAAGATAACAGATCTAGAAACCTCATAAAACTTGGATTGGACCGGTGAAATAAAGTGTCGAAATAACTTAAATAACTCTGGCCTGCCATCACCAGTTATTTCTTAATCCACGAGAACTAACTCTAGGGGAATATGTTTAGTCTATGTTATTTACTAAAGTGATATCATTGACTATACACCTCTACTATACACTATACACCTCTATGTAGAGGTGTATAGTCAATGGTGATATACTCCTTGTGAAGCACTTCGATCCATCCTCTTAGACGTGTGTTATACATGCATTCGCTCCAGAGGCGCTAGGGAAAGGAGCCGGTGTCCTTGAGTGAAAGATTTATTTCTGACTACTCTCCTGTCGTTCCATATATCACAAGAGTGGGGTCATTCGTTCTAATGATATACTTACTAGTGACATAACAGGAAGATGTTCAGGGATTGTTAGAGTTGTACTTGAAACTACCATTCATCGTATCGTTATCTTTTTAGATAAATAGAGGCTTGTCATTAAAAACCACAGTATTTTGGACTAAATGCAGGATGTTGCAAAAGTAGAGTAACAGTTTTGGATCTTTGGAAATAATAATATTTTCACATCAACAAGACAAGAGTCTGTAAATGGTTGAGCTAGTTTCTAACATCAGCTACTTACCAGATACTTTAGGGTACTTTTGGTGAGAGACTTAACTTCAACATAACCGTAGACGTAGATAGCCTATTAAAACAATTTTCAAAATTGTGTCAAATATTTCTTTGTATATCATACTTGATAATATTAGGCATATATTGTGACATTTTACTGTTATTTAAGACATACCATCCCCTTAGAATTCGGTTTTAATTTTTCATGGCATGGGACTGTGAAAGCCATTCGTTACAAAAATACACATTGTTTTGGAAACTTTTTTTAGAAAATTTTATTTGCGTAACCATCTTTGTGATTATCCCTTCACACATATTTGGTAATTTTTATGCACAAAAAAAACTAGATTACCGGTAACTACTTTGATAATACGATATTTGGGTTCCCAAATTGTCACTTTCTCACTGAGATAGAAATTCTAGACCTACTAATGTGTAAACTGCAATATAAACTTAATACGAGAGTTAAATGTGTGAGATTCAGTCTTATGTTGATTTCTCATGACTATGACTGAGGTTAGCTTATACTCCAACCAGGACTATTTATTAAAATCACAACGATCAAAAAACGGCTGAACCCAGCTTGAAACGTCAGTTTTTCAAACGAATTGTCAAATTTCAGGAATGACATTCACCATACTTTCCTGTTACAAATACAGTCGGAATAATCAAAGTACAACTATACAATAATCTAACTTACAACTATCCCCAACTGTCGGAAAGATGCAACTTCACTGTTTACTTAATAACTATTTGTTGGTGTGTCCCTGGTGTCGTTTCCAAATGTCATTCAATGTCAGTATTATGAAGATGGATGGTTTCTCAATGTGATTTGTCTGGACAGCAATTGAACAAATACTAAAAATCTGCCACAGTACATTGCTCATTTAGTTCGCTATGTTCTTAATTTCTCTCTATAGTTAATGGAAATACAAAAATGCGATAGTTTGCAATCAGCCTTTTACATTTGTTGATAAAAAATTCGGTATATAACAATAATTAGGGTATTTTATCACAGCCCAGTCAGCCAAAGCCTCAATTGACTAAGCTGAGATTTTTATTGGCCAATAATTATTAGCTACAGCCATTGACTTTGAAATTGCATTTAGAGCAGATAAATAATTATGATAAACCTAAAAAGTATTTTAATACTTTTAACTGAAATGGTGACCATACGAAGGTAGTCATATTAAGTCAAGTATGAATGGAGATAAGTGTAGGATGAGTGGCGCGATCTTGTATCTAGTAACTGTAAAGGCCGACCTCTTTCTTAGACAGTACTGTTAATTAAAGGGAGTTCCCTTTTAAAGTTTATAGTGGAATCCGAACTAAACTATCCGAATCAGTGCATAGGTGGTAGCATAGACAAAAGAAATACCATAATGGTCTATTGTCTGTGGTGGTAGTATGTTTAATCAAAGCTACATATTTAATATATAAATAGAATGTTTTTCTTAGTATTTTTCTCGTCACCAGCGGTGTTTAACAAACTTTCACAATCACACCAGTTGTTAGTTGCCCAAATCGTTTCGCAAAACCAAGGAAAACAAAGAAATCAAGGAATGAATAATCTCCTCTCTTACAATTTATGAAACAAAAAAATAAATTTATACTTTTAACGGAATGGTAAATCTTAAACCCAACTTGGTAAACTATAAACTAGCCGCGAGATGCAAGATAAGTTATTCCTGTCCAATTAATCCCAATTAATTCTTAACGAGGATGTAGTGTCTGTCAGCTGATCACCTTACACGTCACGTCGACATAACCGGTTACACGTTACACGGAGACGGTAGAACACAACCGGTTGTGTATCTGTCCGATCTTAGGGAAACCGGGTGGTAGCGTGTCACGGGGGAACGAAAGTGAAATTGATTGAATATTGTTGTTGTTGTTATTGTTGAATATTGTCGAATGTAACCTACCTACATCAATGACGAAAAGTTTTACTATAGTAAATTAAAGCTACGATATTTGTACTGATACTTATCGTATGTATTTATAATATAAGATATTGAAATCACACAAGGAAACGCATTTTAAACTTATTTTTATAAAATATTTATTATGTACAAAAATATCACATTTGTTAATCCTAAACTATGCAAACAAAATTGCAAGACCAAATAAAAAAAGTTAGTCTATTTAACAACAGTTTATAGTTTGTTTGCTTTGTACCATAAACATTTTCTCGTATCTGTTTGTACGAGAAGTGAAAGCTTAGTAAGCAACCTTTGACATGTTAAAGCCACAGTAGGTTTTAACTTACAACATTTTGTTAATACTGTCAGAAACAAGAAACTACTTATACGATGATCATTAACAGAAACGGTAAATTATACAACAATACTCAAAGATATCTAGTGGATTCTCCTGAAATTTCTACCAATGTTTAAGTAATATGAATATTGAACCTGAAATATGTTTAATATAGTTGTATTTATTTCACTTATTTGCTAAAACAATTTGTCCTCTCTAAACTACAACCAATAATCACGTTTTAGTTATTTTATTCACAAGTGGAGCCTACATAAAACATTGGATGTATGTGTTTATTTTCTTCTTTTGCAATTAAAAAAGTATGTATAGCAACTAGTTTATAACCGTATTTGGTGTAAAACATATTCCAATCAATCTTTTGGTAAACATCTTTTTCCGTTCTTAATGTACATTGATTGTGTCTAGTGAATAGTTATTATTATTATAAATCAATAGAAACTGTTCAACCGGATCAGTGCTTCTATTTATTTTTCTTTGAAAATAATCTTCAATAGTATTTGAATAAAGAGTCTTGATAGAGACTTAGACGATTTTAGAAATAATAAATTTTATTTAAAATAAGCATGAATCAGTGTTTGCAATCATATATCTTACTTACTTTAAATTTGTTAGATAGTTCCTTGATTTGTGTGAAATAAAGGCAACTCCACATAATCTAAGATAAACTTAAATAGTCCTGTAAAAACTTAAATAATCTAAGAAATAACTTAAATAAATTCAAATGTTTCCATTGACATGAAGCTTTTCCTATTTGCATTTGTTAACTTAAAAAAAATAAGTAAAAATGGAAGTATATTCTACTTTATTCGTTTAAAAAAATAAGGACAGTCCAACTCTTCTTATTTGTGATATAAAAATAAAATCAAAATGTATTTTCCATATTCAATAGAAGTCTTAAGAATTTTGAGTTTTGCTTATTGTCCAAAGAAAAGTACAATAATTTCTCTTAGATTATTTTCTTATAAATTATTAAAATAAAAAATCAATTTGGACTTTGCACACTGACCGCTTTGCAATAAATATTAGTTATTGTTTCTTATAGTAAACCCCCGTACCAAACTCTTCACAACTTTTCCTTTTTCGAACAGGCTGATATAATAAGTTTGAATTTTGCAATGCAAATTTTAAATTTAACAACAAATATTTATAGATTTGGTAATTAATTTGCAATGAGTAATTATTTATAGAGTAAATCTCTTTGTGGTTAGACATTTAAAGCTATCCACTGAGTATTAACTAAGACAGTTTTAGGCTGGAAGACAGAGAAAGGTAACTTTTCAGAGCTGACTAGGTTATCGTGTTGAACTGGCTAGGGTCCTCGTCCAGATCTTCTTCCTGGTCTTCACAGGTAGGTCCTGAATATCCTGTCATACAGGAACACATGGGTTCCCCCAGGATAACGATGCACTTCCCCTTGTTCTTGCACAGGTCCTTGGGACAACCTTTACCGTCGAACCTGGAGTTGGGAAACACACGGTCATGATGAGATCGGATTGGATTTAATTACTTCCATATAACAAACGAAGGTTATTGTGTATATACATTCCTGCTTATGGTTTTCCATAACTGCATTAAGCAGCTAGTACCAAAGGGATATCTTCCTCTGGCAGTATTTTAACTTAAGCAGAATATTATTAAAATAAACTTATTCGCACATGGCCTAACCTTGCATGGCTTTACCTTAGTACTGAAACCACGTGCTTACTGCACTGCATGTGGGTTACAATAGACATATATTTACACCAATAATAATGTTTAAGGGGTTAATATATGTTTTTTTTTACTTTTATTCATTTACATAAGCTCAATATATAAGGCATTTTATCTCCTGACAGTGCAAATTAACTGTTTAAGGACCCATAATATGTATAATCTGTAATAAGTAAAGTTTTTTGTTAAAAATGTCCACGGTAATAATTTTGCTGTTATTTTCAGCGTAACTTATTTGAAATTGCTTAGTTTTACCATTGACTTTGGATCCTACAAATAGATAGTTTGGAAAAAAACAGCTCTTTAACTTATGTGTGTAAATTTATATCAAATTCTAATTAATTTGTATTTGGACACTGCAAGTAACCTTCTAACCCTAATGTAAAATCTAAAGCATGGGTTGAGGTTTACTTCTTTTGGGTTACACTTCGGTGGGTTGATATCCCTAATTTTAGGCTGAATATTACAGTGTGCGATCTTACTCTTTGTTTGTAATACTAGAGCACAGGCAGCAGTTTTATGAATCGTTAGTTTTGGCTAATGTTAGAAGTTTGTAAAATATCAAGATAGTTACCGAACATACTTTCGCATTTGGATTAAGCTGGTCCGTAATGACAACAGAATTTAAGAAAGTCTTTTGAATTGTTTGGTCTTAATCATTAAACTAACGATAAATATTTTTTTCCTAATATTACCTTAATGCTTCATCTGGTGATATTTCTGGAGAAGTTTCTTCCTCTTTAAGCTCATTAGTTTCTGAAACATTTACATACCGGTTAAACCCAAGCACGGTTACAAACAATTTATTATTCCTACTCAGTTAAGGTAAAATTATATTTTACCCAACCTAACCTTGCTTGAAAATGAATAGACAGTGTGAAACCCATAGAGAAGGTATTGGCTGCATTTAGTTCTTTACATCCTAATTTCTCATCTGACCACCCTTTTCATCTGTTAAAGTAATGGTTTTCTTTTGCTGTTTTATTTTAGATCCCTATTTTTTTGCACTATATAACATTACACAGTGAATCATAGATTAAATATTCTATTCTTTGTGTTTATTTATTCCCCTACTTCCTCACATATTCTTTGCCGTTACTAAAACCGTTGATGTTTAATTAATGCAGCACGTAATATAATTTTCAATATGTAGCAATGAAGGATTGTTGTTAATATAATTTCTTCCAGGTTTAAAAAATGTGTTTCTTTTCATAACACGTTGGATGTTGACGTTTTTCAGATCTACTACAAATTTTACCAAATTTACGCCGCAAAAGTCCACTTCCTCTACCAAATCAACCACAGAAGCTCACTCACCCACACACACAGGGTCCTGATGGTTGTCCCAACTACCCCCGATGCAGCGGACCTTCGTCAGCCCCTGTTGAGAAGGTGGCACCGCGTACCCAGGGTCGCACCGGAAGTGGCACACCGACCCGTCCGGAAGTACACCCTTGGCTCTAGCAGGGACGGGATGGTGTTGGGGAGTACGGCAACTGAGGTGTCCATGGTCTGGACTGACCGGGACAGGGCAAGATGTTGTGGCTGTAATGTGATAAAAATTGGTGATTAGATCCATGAAATATTTATATAACGAGGTAAATGAGTAAAAAATCATAAAGTTTGTTGGTTAGCGTTCTAAGCTTTGTTGCTTCAAGTGCCGGGTTCGATCCCCGTGAGTATCGTTGCTAAGCTGGGGGACTGACCTTTTACAAACTTAGAGCAATATAGCATGAAGAAACAGTATAACATATCATTGAGCCCTTGCTACGCAAATGCTTCTACGAAAAGCTGTAGATTACGGAAATCACCATGTAACCGTAATGACTTGGAAAATAACATTATGAATAAAGAGTAGACTTTACGTTATCGCTTTTGATTGTTACGGCCTTTTGATTGTTGACATAAACACCTTCATATTATTGTATTCAGGTGATCCACAAGAATGTAAAATGCATAAGGAACTAAGTTTTATCATTGACTTCATAGAGCTACGGTGTTTAGCTGCTTATTGCGTAATGAAATCTGAAGTCTGTTTTGTAATCATATTAGCGGCGTTTGATTTCGCTGTTGTTGACTAAATGGGTATCTGTTATTTAAGAGTAGATCGTGAACTCTCTGACTATAACACTACAAGTACTACACTAAGTTACAAGTTGTTACACTATAGGGTAAGCAATAGTTTTGCAAGTAAACTGATGTTTTCAGTTATAAAAGTTTCAACGATGGTTAATACAAAAGAAGTAAATCGGTACAAAAATAAACAAACCTACATACAACGTTAATATCCGACCTCATAATTGTCAGCTGATTGACAATTGATGACTAAATTGTTATGCTTTCAACAATATAGTAAAACAGGTTAGTATAGTGTGTTTTACGCACGTGACTGTGCAATATCTCTTCTGAAATAGCAAATGGTGTAGTAAATTAAAATCCATCAGTCACAAATTACCACCCAAAGTTCATTTAAGTAGTTTTCATAGCATGGCAGCATGACATAGACTATTTACAATTATAATTCACTCTAAACGGCTGATGATAAATTAAACCCACTGAAATAAATCTCAATGAAAATTAATAGTCTAGGAGTTCAAAGAGCTGAATGAGCCAATGTTAATTATACACTACACATAGTTGAACTAAAACTAGCTTTGATCATTTGCCTGGTCCTTAATGGAGTGTGACTAATAAACAGCAAATGTTGTCTCATTGTTGGTGCATACATTAGTTAGTTGTTATTATTGGATGCATTTGTCACTAATTTGTTTCACTGTTCTCGAGGTGTATTTTAATGTGGGATTTTTAAGAAATAACTATGCAGAACTAAACAGTTGCATTTTCTGTTTGTATTGATTAAAACAGCTCTCTATGTAAGCAATGGAAGCATGTTTGTTTTGTTTTGGTTATGTTTGATTATGGATACTTGGAACTGTGACAGAATTGTTTATTGAATGGCTACTCCAAAGCTATAACATTCGTTTTGTATGTCAGGTTTGTGCCTCATGCAATATTTAACTAAGCCGAGGAAAATCCTTTCAGATTCTTTGTCGGAAGTTTCGACGAACAATCAAAACAACACCGGTCAAACTCGACAACTCGAGCAAACTCCAACAAACTAAATGTGACTTTCTATGTTAGGTATTGCTTTTTCCAACCATGGTTTAGTTGTTTGTGTTAAAAGTACTTAAAAAGAACTCTTATGAATTCGAGATATACATTTACGTGATAGCATGATGACGTATATCTACTTACTTGTGTATGTATGGACTTAACCCGAATACTATCTGATCAGACGTCACGTATACCTAACTAGAGATGGTATATACCCAAGCAGATGAAGTATATACACACACTTTGTATATAACTAACTATATTACAGTACATAAACAACCAGTCCTAGTATTTACCTACTGCTGACTATGTATAGGTTCAATTTACCTGGGCTTATATACCTAAGAAAAAGGCACCCATACCTTTCCCGGCTTAGTATAACTAAATGCACGTAGTATATACCTACGTAGACACTGAGGCGTAACTCCAGACCACTCCAGGTCGTCGCCACACTCAGTGATGACGTCACCCTCCAGCTGATATCCAGCAGCACAGCTGATGTTACATACAGAGCCCCAGGTCCTACCTGAGGGGCAGTCAGTCCTTACTGCAGGGCCGACCTCCAGCTCAGGACACTTGCGAACTGGAAGGGAAAGGAAATGAGGGTTGGTTACTTTCTGTTCCTATACATTGTATATGGAGAAAGTAGTGTTTCCGTAAACATTTTCGAGTTTGAGTTTTGAGTGGATAAAACCGTTTTAGGTCCCCCTTAACCCAAAAGATTGGTTATTGAAGTGAAGTCTTTCCGTGAGTGTGTCTGTCTGTGTGGATGTGTACAGAGCTACAGACCACACCTGTAGTCCGTTTTTGATGAAATTTGATATCCAGCGTCTTTTTTTTAATTTTTAGGTTTTTTGGTTTTAATGGTAATACTACAATTCAACAAATGAAAAATTGAATTTTCTCGAAAATCATATTTGGTATGATTTTGAAAAAAAATATGTTTTATTTCTTTAAATTGTAAACAAAACTTTAGAACTCCCATTCCTGTAAAAAGTACCATCCAAAATGTATTGTAACGTATGGAACTTTCCCATGCAAACGCATAAAATATCAGAAAATCGGATTTTCTAAAAAAGTATGTTTTGATTGAAATGAGTATGTGATGGTCCTTATAATTCTTATTAACAAAGTGCAACACCCATTTTTGTAAAAATTACGGTTCAAAAGTTATTGTATCTTATGTTATTTTACCATAAAACCTATGAAAAAACAGAATATCCTAATGGATTTTCCAAAATACCAGTTCTGATTGGAATTCCTCTGTTATGGTCCTTAAAATTCTAAACAAAATAGTGTAACCCCCCCCCCCATTCCTGTAAAAGTACGGTTCAAAAATTAATGCAACTTTTGTGATTTTACCTAACAAATATCACAAATACTCTCATCGCTTACCAAAGATATTGGTTGTAGACAAGCTAATGAGAGAAAGTATGTGTCAGATTGCTGATACTGTTTATTTTCTTTTATTTTGATTATTGAGCCAATATAAGTCCAATTATATTCCCCTACCCAAGCTTATACCCAAGCTATACTTATACTTACCCAAGCTTATGGACTTAAACAGAATACTATCCGATCAGACGCCACGTATACCTAACTATGGATGGTATATACCCCCTACCATAGTAAGACTATATAGACCTTTTAAACCTAACTAGGACTAAGTACATGTAGCCTAACCTTTTTACATCCAGACAAAAATAAATATAAAATAACCATATCATGTCTGTAGGTCAAGAACAAGCTTAATGTAATTTACAGTTTGTCTTTAAGCCTGTAAAGTATGCGTCAAGTGATTGTGAACTGTGAGGGGGGGCGGCCTGGAGACTGCTCTTTAGGCTTTGGGTCATCTTCAGAAAAATTATATTGGTCAATGAAATTGTTAATAAAATATCAACAATTGTTACAAAACATGTTGTTAGTAAAATTGTTAATTGTTGTAAATTGTTAATTGTAATTGTGTAAATTGTTGAACAATAAATTAAGATGACGGGCACTAACTTTGTAATGTTTGTAAATCTATCTATCTATATTATTAATACGCTACATGAAACTTTGTAAACAATAAGGCTTTTTTGTTTTAAGATTAAACCCCTCATATTTTTTATCAAAATGTCCTAAACTCACCAATGACGTTGTATCTTGTGACGCAGTTGACGATGGTCCGTTTGTGACGGTACAGTCTGATCACCACTTTGTGACTACCCTCAGAAACTTCACTACCAGGCTCGGGCCCAGCTAGGACTTCTTGCTTCACCTTTTCTATTGAAGACCTGAAAAGATTTTGAAACTTGTAATTTTTACAACGCTAATTGATAGTAACCAATTTAATGGCTACAACAACGCTTTACTAAAATGTTATGGAATTAAAATAGTGGTTATCCTCAGTTTGATTCAAAATACTTTTTCATCCAGTTCGGTCGCTAAACTGATAATGATTAGTTTTAATCCTAATTCACCATCCATTTTAATTATGCCATCCAGCAAAATGTATTTTATGATTGAAAATTTAACAGTCTGAGTGATATCATCTTATTCCATTCAATGATCACTAATTTCGTAGATTACAAAATATTTTTTAACCTGAACATTAAGGGGAAGAATCAAGACACAAATATCATTCATTAACAAAATGTCTTTATGGAGGTACCCCTGCAACGAACAACATTCTACAGTATTTCACAAGATTTCTACAGCAACATTGTTTGCTCATGCAACTTAACTATTATCTTAACTCTAAGTAACCAGGAACTGTACTAGGAACTACCAACATTGTTTCATACTTTACTACTTTCAATATTTAAAATTATTGACCGCTTAAGTGTATTCAAGTTCTCTGCTTAAGCTGCTGTACATTTTACCAAGGATGGCACGGTATGATGGGAGGCACTTCCATGATCACTGACGTGTCTCCTTTCTTCGCCAGCACCGCTCTGTCACTAGGACATCGGGCGCAGACCTTGGACCTGCCATGGGTGAGGGCTCGAGGAGGTTCGTCCTGACTGAACTGCCACAGCTCTTTTCTAGCAGCTCCTGTAGAAAATGCAAACATAGGTTTGTAAGGCCTGAAATATTTATTTTCAGCTAATGTTTTCATAACACTTATATTTAAGTAAAATTTCAAGTGTTGGAAGCTAGGATGGTTTTAGTACAAAGTGACATTCGTCAACCTAGAGCATATGACAGATTTTTAAAAGACTGAAAATGACATAATTTGGAACTAAAACCTCAGTTAAATAAAAATGTATCAAATATAAGAATGTTTCCAGTCCCAAGCCTTACTAACTTACACTAATAAACACCTATCTTCCAGATAGTTCGCTAATTTATTCTTAAGCTGTAGAACAGTGAAATTTAATATTGGACAAATTAAACCTGATCCATGGACATGTGTAGAAGTTTTAAACTGAAACAAAATTAAACTAAACAAATTTACTAAGCCAACATTGGAAACCGGTTCAATTGCCAACCACACAACCCACCCAGACGTATGGTGTCAATTATAAATAGTTCGGTGAATTGGCTTTCTATTGTGTGAGGTCCAGTGGCAATTAGTTGGCAAAGTGACATGTCACTTGAAGCTATCAATCATCCGCCTGTCAAGTGATGCGGGCCCAACAACAGTTAGTTTACCTTGAAACTGACGCTTTTGACAGTTTAAGTAGTTAGGGGTCGATTTGTTTAAGGGGATCTACCACCTTTAAATGACAATTTTTTCATTTAGTAAGTTAGACATTTTTTATGCAGGTATTATATTTAGGACCTTTATTTAATGAGCTTTTGAGGTTTTAAATTTAATTTTCACCTTTCAAGTTTTTTATAAAATCTTTTTAGCGTTTTATTTTAGCGTTTTTTGATACATTGCTAAACTTTGAATAACTTTTTTATTTTTTGATCAATTGTAATGATTATTGATTTTTTTTAACCTTATAATACCAAGAAACTTTTTGGTCATTATAATTAAAATACCATTTCAGAAAAAAAGTTACAAGCAATTATATTTTTTAAATAAAAATTTGTATTTTACAAATAAAAAAAATCATAATTATTTTATTTTATTAGCTATACAATTTCTTATGACTAAATATCTCAGTAATATAACAAGGAACAAGTAGTAAAAAGTTTAATGGCTTATCTATAATACTTTAAAAGTTATTCAAACATATGTAATAAGAAACACGGAAAAACAGAACTTGCGGAAAACGAGCTTTAAAGTAGGCTATAGCGTTTCTAAAGCAGTTCGTAACAACTTCTATTTTTTAATATTATTTAAAGAAAAAAATGTTCAGTTTGTCTTCAAATTTTACCCACATACTCAGAAAAGTATGCAGAACAAAAAAATAACATTATTTAAAAATGTAAAAAAAAATAAATAAATAACCATTTAAAGGTGGTGGATCCCCTTAAAGTTTATGACAATTATTATTTTACTTTTTAGTTTGTTTAGTCAGTGTAACAACTAAGAGGATGTGGATTCGGAGAAGTATTGCTGACGTGAATTGAAAAGTCGGTTTAAAAATTACTTTGCATCTCAGACAAATTTTTTTATCATTTTAAATTATTTTCTATATGAATAATGACATCGTTACGTATCCAACAGTTATTGAGTATTGACTTCATAAACACCTTTTTTCAGTGCAGCCATGCTAACGTATAGTGCAGTTATAAAATGTGGGTCCCATTACACTTAACGCAAATTATTTGGAGAGATAATAAGTTTGAAACGATTAAAGCCTAGAAGACCTTGATTTTTTGGGACCATTTGATCAGTACTTTCACTTCGATCACTTATAATAATCAATCGAATGCTTTCATAAAATACTATGTAAATAGAACATATGTTTCACGGACAAATGGAATATCCAATTTAACCTATAGTTACCTTAACACACAAATTCATTTTTACAGCTTTATAACGTCATTAAAACATGTTTGTTTTGTTTGGATTCCAATGGTACTACGTTCAACGAACCACTCTAGGTCATTTCCATCCAATCTATTTGTGGACATTATTATAACCTCTTTATAACAATTATAACTGGCATCAATTTGACAAAAAAATATCATTCTACGATTTGTAGGTTATGCCAATAACAAGCTGTCGCCAAATTCAAAACTTAAATATCACAACAATACAACAGCTGATCCCACAACCATTGTTGCCAAATTGCTTTTACACGTACAACGTTCTTGTCGTTTTGCATTTTAGGTTGAAAATACGTGACAAAGTAAAACTTATTTTTAAAATGTTTAACTAATTTTAACACTTGCACCTCAATTTATTTTTGACATAGTTACAAAACTGCACACCTGCCAGGGAACACATTACTCTTGGCCCGTCTGACTACACGCGGTAGACGACGCCACAACAGTATTTGTGCAATCGCGGGTCGTCGCGTCGCTTCAGGGTGCCAACTATTTCAATAGGCGTAGACTTCCTTCTCCATCTACAATGATTTACCCCGCGGGGATCCCGGGGTATTTTTATCTGACCTGGATTAGCAATTTTGATCGGAGGGAGTGATTAAGGCTGTATAGGGTGTAGAGTGAAAATTGTAATTATCGGTTATTTTACTGTACAATTAGTCATAAGAATCAAGAAATAATGTAGACCAAACATCTGTATTAAATTATAAACGTTAACTATGTTTAAAGTACCTAGTCGTGGTAAATATTACAGGGAACCAACTTAAGAAGTATAACCGTTAACATTGACGTGAAGCTGCAAAAATAAATTTATGCAAAATTAAATGAAAGATATTTACTTTACTATTCCACTTTGTCTGGGTATGAAACACTGAGCTAGACGATTCGGTTGTACGAACTTCACTCTTTCTGTAAAATCAAAGCTCCAATTTATGGTACGATTGTAAAATTATAATGAGATTCATATAATTGGCTTGAGCATTTTTATGTTTTAACAAATTTTCCCTTTTGTATTTTTCATTGCACAATCTAAACTAAATGGTCCACAGAGTTTCAAATGAATAAAAATAAACTTGATACTTTCACACTATGGTTATTGTTGTGCAGTACAGAAAATTTAAAAGATACAAGAAAAAGTTCTGCTGCTAACACAGATTTTGCAGAAGTGGGCTAACATTTGCTAGCGCATTGAATAACAAACAGCTCGTTGAATTATCTTCCAAAAAGAGGATGGCAAGGTTTTGAGCTCAATTAAATATTACTCGTATTTCAGATTGTTTCTGGTTTTTGCTATTGTATAGTCATGGGGTTTAGGGATGATATGCACATGATCATGCTACGTACTTATAACCCGACCGGAATTGGTTGACACTGATCATTTTGTAGCTTAATTCTATAAATACATAAGTTCCTGTTTGAAAATGTAGATGGAAATGCAACCACTAAACATTGGTTAGTTTGGCTCATTTTCCTAGTCTTAGATAGCTTAAAGCCACAAACACCACATTCAAACACAATGAATAATTACTGGCAGTTTGACTCAGCAATAATTTGTCTCAATAACAACAAATCAGTTTAGTCTTCAACAACAACGTCCTTGCATTGGCAGCCGTACATGTGCTCAGTGCACTGTTGAATGATGACAGGTTGCCATTGTGTGAATGAATGGTCATTATATTATGCTAATGCCCATTTGATATATTACCAGCTGGTTCCGTGCTTCCCAACAATGCTCAGCTGACTGCTAACACAATCAGCTGTTTTGCTGCCAACCTATTGTCGTCTCAAGTTTGGCTGTTGTTTCTGAATGCACCCTAAATTACTTTACGGGTTATACATTGACTTTGGATAAACCGAGAAAGGATTTTAATCATCTGGTAATTTAGTCACACGTCTTGATAACGACTAAAATGGCCCTAAAACGTTTGAGTGCATTGATGATGACGAAATGTTTCCTTTTATTTTAGAATAAACTCAAAGCCATTATTAATTGGCTTGCCAACTAATAATTCATTTTTACTACACCTATCAACAACAACAAAATAATTGACAAAAAAATGTCCAATGATCTGATGTCAATATTTTGTGTTTATTTATATAGTGTATGCGTTCAGCAGACCACATTGTTGAGCTTGCTCCAAGCTTTATAATTAGGTCAGTAGCTCTGGTTTTTGTCAATGTTAATATTTTGCATTGTTTGTTTAAGTGTGCTTTATTCTTTGTTAAAACTTAACCAGAAGGCTGGTAGTAGTTTTACCGTTCTTTTGTTCGTAATAATATTAATGCAGGCTCACCTTAAAATTTATCTCAAAATAGTCACAAAATAGAGTCGAACTCGTAGAATTCAAACGGAATAGAGATTAAAAACACATTAAACCCTTTCAAACATATTCCTTTGCTTTCATAAGGTTGCTGTTGCTGGCTCGTTGCTAAATGGGTCAATTCTTGAACAATGGCAATATGTTTTTCATCGTTTGTCTGTCAATTAATTAACCATACAGTAACAAAAGGTCAAAGTTGGATGGTAACAACTCTTTTGATTTATTATTAAATGCTATAAATTGTCATATAAGGGATCCATCTCAAGCGTTAGAAAATTTCTAATATCCGTAGTAGAACCCCTGTTAACCGAATTCGGGTTAAGCGATACCCTGATTAACCGAAATGGTTCCAAAAAACAATACAGGGCTGTAAAATGCTTTAGTAACTTCAGTTGTTTAGCTTAAAGTGTTTTCTAACCCATTGTTTAGCTTAAATAAAACACTGAGATACATTCAATAGATATATTGTCTTAAATACATTTTTTCTACACACTGTGGGAACACATTGGTTATTTTTAGCATATAATGGGTTAACTGAAAAATTGGTTATCCGAAACAGCCTTCCCCCTTTATTTCGGTTAATCGGGGTTCTACTGTAATAATATATGGTTATTTATGAATTTTGCGGCGGTGACTCTTTCGGAATGTAAAATGACAATAGTAAAAGGTAATGCATCCGCCTGGAACTCTAGTATATTTTCCCCGTAGATTTTCCTACCAGATCAAAAGGTGATTTAGCCCGTGTTGCTAGGAATAGGTTAGTATCAGTAGCCAACCATTGTTCTTACCTCTATTTTTGTGGCGGTTGTTTCCACGATTTCGCTTTTTGGCGGGCAATCCGTCTGATATTTTGCTCGTCACTGTGCCTCTGTAAAACTAACACAAAATATAATTAGATTCAAAAGTAGTATTTATTTATAAAGTGTTAGAACTTAACTAGTGGTTAGCGAGGGAGATTTAGAATAAAATGATGAAATGTTCACAAACATGCTACAAAAACAGATAGTTTTTACTTACCAATGATAAAGCCCTATTTCTCAATATCAAAACTGATATTATCCATTTTTGTGAATTTTGAGTTAATCTTACTCTTACTCTTACTTACTCTTACTCCTGTGGCCATTGGAAACCTAGGTGGTTTTTGGCCTCGCCAACCATGTGCCTCCAAGCTCTTCTATCCTCTTTAATTTTTTTGATTTTTATTTGAGTTGTCTATCCTATCTTTTTATTTGAGTTAATCTAGGAGTTTAAATTAATAAAATAGCTTTTTCTTATTGATTTATATTGACTTAATTGCAATACAAAGATTTGTTTTGGTTTCGTTATAATTTTGTACGTAAGAATACGTTTTGAAAATTATCATACAGTTGCAATAAATAATGTTGTGAATCGTTTATTTATGGAAAGCTTAAAATATTTTATGCTAACGTGTTTATAGGGATACATATTAAGTTGCTTCTGCCTTGTTTAGATTTTATTGCTGTAAATTTGCTCGGCCCTGCCTACCTCTGAATCATTTGACTAATGTATCGTAAGAAAATCGCAGCTATTTATCTTTATGAATGGGCAGTTCTGACCCTCTAAACATTGAATATAAATTTAAAATGTTAATACAAAACTGAACGTCCCATTCAGTAAATTTATTTATATTTAAAACCATTAATAATGTCGTATATTCCTTGTTTTGTTTGGTCAAAATTATTAGATATACATTCAAGTGCTGTTCAGAAATTTTCAAATTTGAGAATACTTTTTTCTCTTACTCAAAAGCAGGATTTTTGCATAATTTAAGCTTTAGGAGTATTGTGCTAGCTAGGCTTTTAACTTGCATTACGAAGATTGTACTGTACCAATAAATATTTTTAGTGTAGCTGCTATTTAATCAAACCTTTACAATATCCATCCAACAGAAAAACTGTTTAAATCTTCTTTCTGTTAAAATTGCATTGACTTATCAAGCAAATAAACTTATATCAGGTACTAACAACACATTGTCAATGGTTTTGCCCAATTTTATTTACTTGTCCATCTTGGTTTATATAAACGATTCAGGTTTATTTATACATTTATTCTTTATTCCACCATTCATTACTAACTGTAGACTTCTAGGTCACCTTTGAACTGGAGCCTCTTGCCGGAGTAACTCGGACCTCTTCCCCAGGAGCCACTAGGGCGGAGCCCCTCTGTTGCGAGTGCCAGAGTCCCCGAGTCTCCTCTTTGACCCTGGGTAGAACCACCATCCTCGGATGGAGTCCAGAACTATCCTGGTCATTCTGGTAGTGGTAATGTTGGTCTTCTAGGTCCTGATGACGATGTCTCCCGTGGACCTCCTCGCTTGCCCCGTGCCAATTCACCTGAGCTCTCCGTTGGGACGCGGGCCAGTCTATGTCCCAATCACGGGGGTAGCTGAAGACTCTCCGGGATCGCCCCCTGTGACCCCACCTGAAGAAGGAAAGTTTGTTATTACTAAAATTCCATTGTCCATTTCAGTGCCAGTACCGGGGTACCGAGACGTGGTTTATTTTGATTATGTCTTTGTAAAAACAATATAAAGGAAAGCACTTTTTATTTACAACTAGTAAAAAACACTCGTTTATAGCATCAATAGCCTATGATGGCATAAGCATTATTTTAATAAAAATAATGCACGTAAATAGACAAATAATGGGCCTTTTAATTGAAACGTGCGATTGAAATAATTGGTGTTTAAAATGTTATGTACACAAAATAAATATAATATTTTAAATATTAAATAAATTATATTTCACCGTTAAACCGGTTTTATTTCACCAAATAAGTTTTCTAGCAATTGGTAGGTAAGACCCAGGTAAAAAATAATTATTTGATTGAAACTATTCTTCCCGTCTCCCCAATATCAATTAATAATCTTCAGAGTAATATTTTCTCGGTAGTAACAACTGATGTTTTTATCTATGTACTATATATATTCCTATATTCCTTGACGGCTAGTCTAGATTTTTCTTCAGCCCGGTCGAGTTCGTTTTGTCAATGTTATTTATTTTGTCAATGTTTATTTTGTTGTTTATTAATGTTATTTGTTTGGTACTGTGTATTTATTTATTCTATATTTTCGTGTCTCGTGTTTATTTTACATTTTATTTATTGAACTCTGTTAAAACTAGTTGTCAGAAAGCATCAAAGGATTACTATATGCACGTATTGTAAACCATTTTAAGTAAAACCACAAACATAACCTAAATGATATCATACATGATAATCTGTCGTATATGATAATCTGTGATAAAAATTTAATCTGTCTGTGATGATAATTTAATTATGGTTGTAAGAAAATATTACGAACACAAACAGCCATTGTTGTTCTCGAAATGTATGGCCGTGCACAGCTAAAGCTTCGGGCCGGGGTTAGCTTGAAATGGTCATCTACAGTTCTCGAGCGGCATGACGCACTTTTTGCTCTTAATACACAAATAGCTAACAGTTTATGTTAAAGAGGTAAGCGCAAACATATTGTGCTAATGAGTACCAATGACCCAATTACCAATAATAATGTAGGGAACAAGCTGGTCTAAGCGTGGGGCATCGGTCCTCGAGGTTCCGGGTTCAAATTCCGCCAACCACCAATGGATTTCATCAATGTGATAATGTTTCGATCCTCTAGGCCTAGCCTGTAATATGTCAAGTGGTTGTAGGCTAGAGCCTTCGCCCTAGGATGTGATAGTAGATGACCAGTAACCAAGTATGCTGTAAACAAAATGGAGTTATCTCTTCAATTATATCTGTAGAAACTAGACAACGTAAAGCTCCAAGACTGCATGTACGCTTGGGCGGAACTTAAATCCAAGACATCAATTATGCAGGATAACAACCCAATTTAACTTGTCAGCCACTGAGGTGATGACGCCAGAACATAAATCTGCAAGATTCTTCATCTTCCCGGAAGACCTTGGACACTTTTGTAGGATTGTGCGTTACACTTTTTCAGACCATTCATAATTTCAATAGGATTATGATTATTTTTGGAATACAGGTATAATCCAGCAAATTTGTTGAAGTAGGTGAAGACTCGGCAATTTATCATGGTAATTTCTCTCGTGTTGATGTATTTCGTGTCCAGTAAGGCCCAAGTGTGTAGCTAGCAGATGCATCTTTCTCTCTTAATTTAGGATAGATTTTAAGGTACAGGTGATCCTTTCATTTATGTGCCCTCTAGCTGGTTTACGTGTATTTAATGTCTGAAGCAGCTTGACGGAATGCATATAGATTCATCTTTCTCTCCTATTTCAGGATAGCTTTTATTTCTTTAGGTTTGTCCCACACCTGTTCTGATTTCAGTTATATTCCTCGTAGAGTTGTTACAGGTGATGCACAATAAATGGTTCTTCCTCAGTTCAGGGTGCGTTCTCTGCTGCTGGCTTCACTGTTCTAGGTGTGTTCTTTTATTTCCTTTTCAGAGGATTAGCTTTCCAATTAGGCTCAAATGGATAGTCCTAGATAAACGTTGTTGTAATTCATGGTAAATGTCACAGTGTGTGCTTCACTCTTTGGAAAATAACTTAATTATTAATGTAATTTATTAATATAATAGAATTGTTCAAGTACTGTGTCGGTTACCATTTTGCAGTTTGTCATTGCGGGCATTTACGATTCTGGGTTAACCATTGGTGTCGGAAACTTATCCAACTTCTGTTTTTCCACAGGTCGAGATTTAAGACCGCTATTTCATACTGACAGGTCTGGCAGGGTCCCAAATCTTGTTAACACTGTCGGAACTCTGAGAAAGACAGATTCGTTGAGTGAGGTCCAGATACTTGGATACTGGGTGTAGTCGATTTTCTCACATTAGGACTATTTCCGTCACTAATGAACATTTGGAGCTTACAGACAGATCGATTTGTTTTTTCCAGGGGAATTTGGCAACGCTGTAGACTGCTCTGGTCAATTAAAATGCTTCGTTAGTTGTCGCAATCCGATGTGATAAAGTATTTTTGGAACCTTGGGCTAACTTGTTGAAACACGAGTTATTTATATAGCTTGAACATAAGTTTTTAACCGTACTTTACAATGCGATACGGAAGAAAAACCCTTTCTATATGTCAACGTCTGTTGTTCTATAAATTTACAATTGAAAATATTTACACGCTCACCATTTAGTTAATAACTTAACACAGTTTAAATGCGCTGATTGTAGAAACTATGGTTGATCTACTGACTTTTTATGTTGTTCTTGTTAGGTTCTCTCAACAGTATTACAAAGTAAATTAATGAACTATTATATTCAGCGCTAAGAAAACAGACACTTAACATCGATCACGGGAATAGAGCAATTGACCCTGCATACTGATATTGATATTCCGTCTACTGTATAGATCAGGTGTATCCAGGTTTTTTTTGTGAAAATATAGCTGAAAGACACTAGCACGAAGTGTTCTACTTTTTATGTTTTTGTTTTGAAAAAAAAAAAAAAAATTAGAGATGTGCTCAAACTCATGAGAGATGAAAAGTTTCTTGTTGGTGTTTTCGACCTCAGTCATAATCTCAATTAAAAGGAGTTTTTTTTACATTTTAAAACTAACTGATATGTAACACCACTTGCATAGTAATGGGATGTGCACACTGTGTATTTTATATCATTCGTTAAAAATCAACTATACCCTAAAGGCCTTCTCTTGGGGTTTCTAAATCAGCATGGTGTTATTGGTGTTACAGAAAAATTAATGACTAAAGGTAAACTACCTAAAATAACATTATTCACGATTTAGTTTAAGTTATTTTGAAAGTTTACATTACGTTGTGAATATCAATAAACCTAAAACATTCCATACAAATAGTGGTTATAGTCACATTACTGGAAAGTTGTTATCCAATTTCCACGATTGTGCTGTGGCAATTTAAGACAACAGAATTTTCAAACCACGAGAGAATGAGCTGACATTAGACACTGTTTTCTTATGATCAGACATCCAAGCCTAAACTGAGAAGTCAATTTATTTACACTAAATATTTTTATAACCACATCAACTATAGTATAATGAAAGAAAGAGATGCGATAAAACTTCAATAGTACACTCTATCTTATAAAAATGTAACGAAATAAAACATGGATGGATACAGCTCGTCCATAGGTTTTACTATTAAAAGTCAATGATACATTGAACAAACATCGATGCAAACATTAAATGCCAATCATATTGGTTTTATTTAACTTGACCACATGTTCTGTTGGAGATTAAATCTTGCATTCATCTTGCATTGACGAACACAGCATGTAGATTGATTGACAGAATAATCAACATGTTGTATTGGAATATGAGTGGCTACCGGTGATTCGAAAAGTTTTATCAAATAATTATAAGATTTTATTGACTAGGAACTTGAGATTCGTTCATCTGTTGTCGATAAATAAATTGCGTTGTACGGAATACGTGACATATTATCAATTTATTGAATAAAATATAAATTTATGATTTACTAAACAATTCTGAGACCTTACAGTTTCTGAGAAAAGGATGATTAATCGACTGTACAAAACTTAACATTTGATGTTAAAACACAAATAGTATAGTCCTCTCTTTAGTCGAGCTCATGGCTAATATTTAAACAGTAGCCTAGTATTTCAACCGCGAGTTGGTTGTGTTTCCGATTGTATAACCATGATTGCTCTTATACAGAGTGGAGCGTTGTATTACTGTTACGTGTTATAGCTTGATCAGCATTGGATTGTTTGCTGACGCATTGAATCATAAACAACTACATGTGGGACGAACTTGAGAAAACAACATCGATTCGACTGTGTTAGTGAGCTCTTTATCTACTACATTAATTGATTTTGCAAGATTTCTTAGAACCTATCCATGAGAAAATAGTTATTGAAATTTGAAAGTTATTGAAAATGCCGGATGATAAACGAGCCAAAATAACTCTTAATTTAGTCAAAACACATATTCTAAGTAAAACAATCACGATCCCACAGTATTGTTTACGGAGCAACAACATTCATTTAAATAATAAGAAAACTGACTGTATTTGAATATTGATTCATAGATAAACTTACCGGCCAACTGTTTAAGATGAAGTGTGGTAGAGAAGAAACTGATAAATACGCGGATTTTATAAGGGTCCCTAAGCATTGAATGAAATGTAAAAGGGATAAGCTGGGGACGTTTGGAGCAAATAGAAGAGGTATCGTCTAAATTATGATATAATGAGGATTTTTAGGGATGAAGATCAACACGACAGTCACGGAAAATAACTGAAAGAAGTAAGGGGTGATTTAGAATTAATAGGGGAAGACGTAAAAAATTTCATGGATAAACCAAATAAAAGATTTGGTAAAAATCTAACATCAGTATACAGTACAGATAACCTTGCACTTTCGACCATTGAGTATATTAAAAACCAAGTTTTTGTGAATTCAAGAATAAAGGACCAGATAGTTCCAAAAACTTTGAACAAGCAGCTTG